ATGGGCTTATCCGGTCCTTAAAATATATCATTTCCTTGTACCAGCAACCTCTAAAAATCTTTACCATCAGCTATCTTGGCAGATTGATTTGTTTATTTATAAGTCAGAATGAGAGAGACAGAGAGAATCTTCCATCCTCTAGTTCACTCACAAATGGTCTCAACAGCCAGAATGGGTCCACACTGGAAACCAGGAGCCCAGAGCTACCCGAAGGCCCCCTACCTGGAGGCCGGAGCCCAGCTATGTGGACCATCTTCCTGGTGTTCTCAGGAGTACTTGCAGGGAGACAGGTCAGAAGTGGAGTATCTGAAACACTGCCAACATTGCAGGTGGCAGCTTAATTCACTGTGCTGCTGTGCTGGCTCTTCGACCAGCTGCTTTGAAATATACAACCAAAAAAGAAAAAGAAAGAAATATACAACCAATTGTTAGCCTGGCTCTCATCCGGGGTTTATAGAATTTGGATTATAGAACGAGTTATCCCTCATATGTAATTGTATTCCTCTTCCTCTTAACCATGCTCTCTTTTCTCCCTCCTCCTCCACATAATTCCAGGGCATTATTCTATCTCTCTATTTAAGTGGATTTATTACTAGTTACTTTTGCTCATCTATGAATGACTGTACCTAATTTGTACATTCACCTTTATTAGAGGTATGTGCGTAGTAAAGGAAGAAAGACAGTAGACAGAGGGTAAGGTAAAGTTCTCAGGCAGTTTCAGGTATCTAGAAGGAGACTGCTGGTAAGCTCATCCCCTGCCCCGCCCCTCGCCAGGATGAGGGAGGGACACTGTGCTGTCCCTGCCTTAGTGAGGCGGTTACCAAGTCCAGGGGAGAGGAAGTAACTTGCTCAAAGTGGGGGCAGTGGAGCAAACTCCCGCCGGCATTAATAGTTAGACGTTGTGAGAGATATCTTTTCATCAGTTTACCACATTACGTTTTAATATTTCTCAGCAACATTACTTTATACTAAGAATTTTTTAATGTTCCAAACAGATCTTACTGATGTAATTTTGTAGTTGATTGTTCATGATCTATTTTCTGTCGTGAGTATTTTTAGGTTTATATTAAAAATATCGAGCCAGGAGTTAACGATAAACAAAAAACGGTTTAAAAATAACCAAACAGGCCTAAAGGTAGAGTAGTTCACTGGTGTAAAATCCTTCCACTTAGATCCTTTCTGTAATACCCTTAGCTTCAGAATCCCTCAGTTTTCTTTGAAACACATAAGTAAGAAGGATATGGAAAAAAAGACAATTCTATTATTCTCTTTAGTCAAAGACAAATCTATGAAAACCAATCTTTGTATGCTAATTAGTTTGCTTTAAAAATTCTCTTTACTGTAGAGCATATAGATATATAACCAAGGGCAGAATTTATTTCATTTACCGTAAGATAATACAAACACAGAAATGTAAAGCATTAGGAACTGATTTAATTGAAAGCAACAGCAAAATTTCTCTGATTTTAGCTGCCTGCTGGAGCATCATTATTAGAAATATTAAGTTGGAAGGCCTTTTTTGCCAAATTTATTACCAAATCTTAAGTTAATACATGTTTTATTTGTGTGGGCTTTTATAACTCCCATAAAAGAGTAGAAGCTGTTTACTGCTACGGGATATTAGGAAGGTATTTTGACTGGAGGGAAGTAAATGTTTTAAGCAGGTCACTGAAGGGACAACTTAATGATTAACATGAGCTGTGCTGGACCATTTAGGTTTAATCATTAAAAAAAATAAATACTTCTGCTTTAGTTATCCATTATGTTCTAATACTCTCAGACTCTCTAAAGTTCAGAACACATGGGATAGAGTTGGGTGTTTGTGTGACTTCTTGGTGATTCCACAGAATTTGAGATGTTTCAGAACTAATGTGGGATGTGGGAGGATGTGCTGGAGGGACCTGGTCGGGGGCGAGCAGAACCTAAAGCCAGGCTGTGGTTAACCTGCTGTTGGTGGTGTGGGGCACTTCTCTTCTCTGGCTGCGTCACAGGAGCTGCTGCTCAAAGTGGGGGTAGTGGAGCAAACTCTCGCCGGCATTAATAGTTAGACGTTGTGAGAGATATCTTTTCATTAGTTTACCACATTAAGTTTTAATATTATTTCAGTGTGTGTGAAGGTACTTTTAGGTTAATGGAAACCTTCATTCTGAGGCCTGGGAAATGTGGGTATGAGTGTGGATGCGTGTGAGTGTGGGTGTGGGGAGTGGTGGATGTGAGCATAGATGTGAATGTGGGTGTGAGTTTGGTTGTGGATATGAATGGGTGTGAATGGGAGTGTGAGCGTGACTGGGTGTGAGTGTGGGTGTGTGTGCTCCCATGTTAAGAGAGTGCAGCAGGAAAGAGGAACTTCTTCATGCAAAAGGCTGCTTAAAAAGTCTTAGTGGGTTGAACTGTATGGTTACATTTGGGAGACTTTTTCTGTGTTGTTTTTTTTGCAGAAGAGGACTGTCAGAAGGCCCTAGGAGGCCCACATGTCCTGTGAGGAGCAAAGATCCTTTACCGCCACGCTTTACAAGAAATGTACAGAGAGCCGTTGATGGATTCACCTGGTAAGGCCTGACACCTCTGAGTGCCCCCCACCAGTGCAAGAAGCAGTCAGTGAATAACCATGACTTTCTAGAAGTAAAGGAAGTTGCATTTTGTAAGCTCAGAAAACATGTGGCATTGAGGAGATATTTTTTAAAAATAGCATACTATGCCATGAGCAAGCTTGTGAGTGTTTAATGACAACGCGAAGCAGGTAGAGAGAAGGAAGGTCTCCAACGGGTGTCACCTTTACCCTGCGAATGCTGTTTCTGTTGCTTGCCTTCTCCGCTACAGCGAGTCCCCATCATCCCTGTCCTCCGGCGGGATCCGCACGCCCACGGAGGCCCACGACCCTTGGCCTGCCTCTGCCTCACGCAGCTCTACCACCGACTTTTCCACCGAGAGGAGCTCAGCGTGTTCTTGGAGAGATGACGTAGGTTTCAGAATATTTTGGATAATCCTCTGACTGTAATTCGTAATGAAGCATTGCTTTCTTATGTTCAAAAACCCTTCTCCCAAATATAAAAGTATTATCTATTGCATACATGTGTATAAAGGCATTTGTTACATGTTACATGTAACACTTCTAGAATATCAGAATATTATTCTCATTCTCTTAGCTTGGAGCCTAACTGCTGATGATGATTTTTCCCATACCCCCCAAATGCCACCCGCGTCATACATGCCTTCTTGTTTGGCATCAATGACAAGAAACTCAGGACAGACTCTGGTCATCAAGAACTCAGATTACAGACACATTTCAGAAAAATAAAGCATTGAAAGAATTCCTCCCAAATATTTTGTTACTTCCACTCTTGTTTCTTTGTGGGACAGGATTCTTAGCTGTGTGAGCTTTAAGTCTTTATCTAAAGCCCACCTAGGGCTTTTGCTGAGAACCCAGCTGACACCACATTCTGTCCTTGTGTCTCCTGTCGTTCCCTTGAGGATCCTGGGAGAACCTTTTCATGAAACATCTGCTCAGGGAGGATCACCCGCCGTGGTACCCGGGGTGTTCTTCACTCCCTTGGTTGTGGCCTCTTTTCCTCTGCTTTACTAGCACAGGGGGCTCTGCTAGTAGGACCTGTGAGGGAATAGAGTAACTCAGAGAACTGCTGGACAACCCATGACCTGCTCAGTGATGACCAGTAGCCCCTCTTCTCCACAATGAAGGGGCATCCCCTCCCCAAGTCTCTCCCAATGGGTGTGTCCTGGGAAAAGCTGAGAGCCATTGCTTCATGCCTATTCTTTCAGTACAGATTTTCATGGCATGACTAGGGAGAGTCTTCGGACTTCCATTTGTAAAATTCAGAATACCGCAGGTCCTCCAATTGCTTGCCATCCAACATTTTAAATGTTGCGTTTACTTTTGGAAGAGAAGCTCTAGCAAAAGCAACAAAAGATGCCCAGCCATCCAATCCTGTCCTAAGAGACAGTTTTCCCATTATCTGCATTGTGAAAGACATAACTCAATTTGCCTATAAGCTGGGAATCTTTTTTTTTTATTATTATTAAAAGGCAGATTTACAGAGAGAAGGAGAGACGTAGATAAAGGTCTTCCATCTATTGTTTTATTCCCCCAAAGCTGCAATGGCTAGAGCTGAGCCAATCCAAAGCCAGGAGCCAGAAGCCAGGAGCTTCTCCTGGGTTTCCAGAGTGGGTGTGCAGGGTCCCAAGGACTTGGGCCATCCTCCATTGCTTTCCCAGGCTATAAGCAAAGAGCTGGATGGGAAGTGGAACAGCTGGGACACTGGGGCCCATATGAGATACTGGAGCGTGGAGGTGGAGATTAGCCTGTGTTGAGCCACGGTGCCAGTCCCTGTCTAGTTTATTTTCAGATTCAGGGGGGAACTAACAGAGAAAATAATCAGTTACTAGAATTCTGTGTCAGCCAACCTGAATTGACCATTTCTCTTTGACTTTGCTGCTTTGAGTTGAAGATTAGTTTTCAGGTTTGCACACTCCTAGAAGAAAATGTGTCCGGAGCGCTTCCTTAGGAGGCCCCTGCACAGTGCGGGTTCTTCCCATCACAACGTGTTTGTGTTTTCTTCTGTTCCAGTAAGAGGAATAGTAATGTCACCTTCCAACAGAGGCCATTCTGGAGAGAACTTTCTCATTTACAATGCACTGCAGCAGTAGTCTCAGAATCTTTTAAGGTCACACAGAAAAATTTAATACTCACCCAATAATCACATCTCTTAGGGTAAGATAATCAAGGAATTTTAATTTTTCTATTTCATTGGTTAAAAGGTTAATAGCCTTTTCTACCAAAGTGATTTACTTTTTCATAGTATCATCATATATGAAATAGTTTGTATGATTTTGCAGGTGTGTTTAGGTAGCTCAGGCTCAGTTAAGTAAGGCACATGTATGTCTGTATATGTATACACACGTGGGCATAGATATGTAGGTGTATATATTTATGCCTGTGTATCTGTATTCGTGTTTTTCATTATGTGTACTTACCCTGTATACCGTGGTGTACTCTCCTCTTGAAGAAGTTCTAAGTATCAGCGAATGGGAAGTCTTCAGCTTTCAATTTTGTAACTAAGCTCTTGTTTCTGTCTTAGGAATTTGACAGGGCAAATGCACAGAAGGTGCAGCAGTTATTCTGGGAGGTCGAGGAAATGCTGTTCGAAGGGAAGGTGACCCTTCAGACCCAGAACCTGCTGACTGAATGCAGTGAGTGGGCACGAAGGTCCCTGCATCTGAGGTAGGGCTGTCCCTCCTGGAAATTCCACAGGGTGCTGCCAGAGCTACCCAGCCTTGCTCTGAATTGAATGCAGTCGACACAGTTTAAATGTGCCGGCCCAGGCAAATGACACGACCATCCTCTATGCAGAATCACATCCTTTGTTATTACGTCGACCAAGGAGGTAGGGCGGCATCCCCACATTCAAGTGTCTGCCACTTCTGAGAGGACAAGCTGGCTCGTCCTCAGGAACACACAGCATTCATAGCAAATGCAAGAAAGCAGAAGTAATCTTTAACCATCACCTGCAATGGTGTCAGGGAAACAGGTGTCTTATGGAACAGGCCCAGGTTCCAAGGGTGAGCATGATTAAGTAATTGTGCTGACTCATCGTTTGTTGTTTTTCTCCTGAAGATGAACACTATGGATGGAATATGAGGGAAAGATTTTCTTTCTTTGGTTGCTGAACCACGTTGCCCAGGGAAAAGTCTGTCTCAGTGTCTTATGTCATTTTGGGCAGGACACTCATGTAGACAGTTCCCCTGGTCACCTCAAAATTGGCAATTACTTTGACTACTTTTTTTTTTCCTTTTCACTCTATAATTAACACCTTGCTTTTAAGAGTATAATATGTCTGCTAAGTGTTCATTGAGAATGCCCAGTTAATTTGGAAATAGGGCCCTTGTGCTCAGTTCTCTATGATCTTACATAGCAGGGATAAAAAAGGAGGGAAGGTAGCAAATGAAGAGATGGGAGGGAACAGAAGCCAAGCAGACATGCCTGCATCCGTTATGTGCACACTTGCTGCCCCCGATAGGTGGCGCCCTGTCCGTGCCTTAGCTGCCTGAGACTAGCACACATGATCTCAGAGCCATTCCTGTGTCCTGCAAGGAAGCTGTAACTCAATTTTGCACATGCAGAGCAAACAAATGAAATCATTGGCCTGGAAACCTGAGACATTCGCTTCCAAACCTCTGGTCAGAGGTTACGTACAGCAGGCTGTCTGGCTCTCTCAACGCTTGTGCTTTTGTTCCCATGACATTATTCATGAACCCATGCACACCTTGGCCTGTCACACACACACACACACCTTCCAAACATTCTTGTCATCTGTTTTTAAAAATCTTTTCCCTGACTGATCAAACGTCTACAACTTGCATGTGTTTATTATTTTTTCTAATTAGAACAACTTGGCAGCTTCTTTATTATTTTTCCCTGCAGGGTATTAGGAAGACAGCTTATCCTGCCGACTGATGAAGGGTTCCAACACTTCCAGGGTGGTGTGCCCTGTTGGCCAAATCACAGGCCCTTGCCAGAAGTCTCCGAGCGCAACAGCAGCATCAGAGAGTATGTTCATATTTGCTTATTTGTTTCTTCTTTTTTTTTTTAAAGATTTATTTATTTTTATTGGAAAGGCAGATATACAGAGAGGAAGAGAGACAGAGAGGAAATTCTTCCATCCATTGATTCACTCCCCAAGCGGCCACCATGGCCGGAGCTGCGCTGATCTGAAGCCCAGGAACCAGGAGACTCTTCCGGGTTTCCCGCATGGGTGCAGGGTCCCAAGGTTTTGGGCCATCCTTGACTGCTTTTTCCCAGACCACAGGTAGGGAGCTGGATGGGTCGTGGGACTGCCAGGACATGAACTGGTGTCAATATGAGATTCCAGCGTGTACAAGGTGAGGACTTTAGCCACTAAGCCACTGTGCTGGGCCCCATATTTGCTCATTTCAAATACCATTTTATATTGTCATATAGTTGTGCTTTTTATGTGTTGCCACATCCATGAACCTTGACTCTGCTAAATTGCGAGTTTAGATTCTAATAAAGGGCAGGTATAAAGAATTTTTTCATAAAATGCTTCTGACTCTAAATGGGCAAGTGTAGATCCTTGTCTGTGCATTTATATAAATATGTGAAATCCATGTGGACCTCACACATGTGCGCATGCAGAAGTGAACTGTAACTTTTGTAGCAAAAAAAAAAATACAGATTCTATTTTGTTTTCTTTGACCAATAAGTTTTAGTAAATCATTGCATACAATTCACACATAGTTGGAACCAGACCACGACATTGTTTCCTTAAGGCAAAAAATGATACAAATTTAGAATACTACAGGTTGTAAGAAGCATTAAAATTCTTAGTGGTGCCTGTGTTAAAATGTGTTTCAGGATATGTGCTAGGTGTATAGGAATACTTACCGATTTTTTACTTTCCAGGTAGTTTAAGGACCATCACAATGTTAAAAGCCTCGCGGTCTTGATGTTCAGACTCCCTCTTTCCCCCTACAGGCTATGCATCTCGGGCTCTCAGATTATCCCTACAGCACTCTCAGCCTCTGCCCTGCCAGGCCCCGATGGCACAAGGGCTGCTGACCCAAGGGCATACCCGTCCCTGGAAGAAGAGGTGTATGACGTGGAGGGGAGGATGGAAGAGTATTTCGCTTTTGACAGAAGAGAAGAGTAAATGGGTTTTCTTTTATACCAACTGCATAGTAAAATGATAACTTAGTTGAGATTCAGTTTTATTATATGTTTATTCAGTGCTTTGTGTATTGTTTACTTCAAGCTTTTAGATTTCTAGCCGGGAGTGTATACTAGAGTGCCTCTTTTCTTTCTTTCTGACAATAAGGCAAAAATATTAGAGTTCCCTTCAGCATGCTTTCAAGATGACAAGACTAACACAAGCCCCCCCGAGGGTCTTCAGGCTCCCTTGATCTGACTACCCAAGAAGACAAATGGAAAATTCCAGACTTTGTACTATTTTGTCCTTAGATGGGAACCGCACATTTGAAAATTGTGCCAAAATAAGTGTGGAAATCTTTCATTTGCAAAGATTGAAATCCTACCAAACATCTTTTCTGACTGTGGCATGGAGACAGAAATCTATCACAGGAGGAGAACTGGAAAAGTTACATATGGGAAGAAATTCAACAATATACTCTTGAACAACCAATGAGTCAAAAAAGAAATCAAAGGAATCTTGAGACAAATGAAAATGAAATCACAACATATCAAAATGCATGGGACATAAGCAGGGCAGCTCTAACAAGGAAACTCATAAGAATAAATCCCTACATTAAAAAACTCAAACAGCTCAACTTTACACAAAAAGAGCAAGTTAAACCTAAACTTGGTACGAAGGAAGAGATTACAAGGATCATAGTTGAAATACATGTTATTCTTAGAAATACGTGTGTAAATGTACATAGATGATTAGCTAGATAGATGCTCATTTTAACTCTAACCATTGTTCCTTTTAATAATGGGAAGGGGTTTTTATCCTTAGTGGTGATGAGCGTCTTGAACGGGACCCAGCTCACCGTGGTCAGAAGCAACATAAACACGGGCTGCCTCCTGTGTCTCCTCATGACTGCATCAAAGACGCCGTGGTGGCAGAAGTGTTTGACCATGTCTGGACAAGTGTGATAAAGATATTGGAAGAGCTCATTAGGAACAGCTGGGGAACCACACTCACAGGTACTCGCTGTAGAATTTGACCTGATGCAAAGGAAGGCTGGCCCTGCTCCTCAGCTCTGGGCCTTCCCCTGCAGCCCTCCAGGCTCTCCGGGAACGAACCTGAAGGGAAAAGAGGAGGGGATTTTACATTTTTAATTACAAGTAATCTTGAAACACTTCCAAAAATGGTATTACTTTTTGAGTTAAAAAAATAATAATAATACAGATACATTCTGAGGAAAACTGCAGAAGTAACACAAAAAAGAGCTAGATGTTATGTGTTTCTGTTGTGGAAAAAAAGAAAGATAAAAATAACATACCTAACCAACTTCTGATAATGGAATATTTGTTTTTAGTTGTTCATGACCTATTTTGTAAGGCAAAGTATAAAGGTAGTTTTGTAGTCATTTCATTTCCACTTGTGAAAAGTTTCCAAACTGCTTAAGCCGCAATGAGTCATGAAAGTATCTTTGGTGGCACTGAAAACTAGTAACAAATTTGTACAAAAAGCAATAATCATGCTAATGTAAATGTTGTTCTTTCTGTAGCTAAATGTGTGTAAGGCTTTTATCAAACACTCAGAATCTGTGTTGTTCTGTTCTCCACTGTTTGCACCTCACTGAAGTGAGGATCATGCCATCTAGTTCTCCCCAGGGACCAGTGTTATGCCTATGTCTATGGTAGTATTCTTTTGCCACTGGCCCTAGCATGGATTCATGGCATCTCGGGATCAGATTTTGCCTTTAAAGAGTGAATTGTAAGTGTTTGTGTAAGACACTCTGATGTTTCTTGCCATATACTTTTTCCTGTTGACACAGAAGTTAAGAAACAGAAGCAAAAGTTGAAGGCAGCTGAACATCGATCTCCACATGCCCTCGTTGGCCGTGTTGGCACTGACACATCAAGTGTTCCCCCCTCCAGAAGTTCTGAAACCCGCAGCCTACCCCTGGCGCCCCAGCCTACCCCGCCCCAGGTAGATGCTGCCACAGGAGTCTTTTTCTTTCTGTCTTTGTGTTTCATGCCTTAGGTTGTCAAGAGTGTTATTAAACCCTAAGTTCACGATATGTGGGTCTATTTGTCAAGAAGACTAAAATGTAATGTGACGTTAAATGATGCATTCATTACGGTATAAACAAAGTTAAAATTTGAAATGTCACACAAAGTGTAAGCTATGAAAAAACTATGCAGGAATTCCAAATCTTTGAACCTAAATAAACATTTAATTTCGTTTTCATGACTCTTTTGAAGAATTCGTATACACATACACGTTCATAAAGACAATATAGTTAGTATAGAGAATATGAGAAATTGAGAGTTAGACCAAGATTACAAATTTGTGGCCATCAGCCGCCATTGTCTCTGTGATCTCAAATTAGACCCTTTTTCTTAAAAACCTCAAGTTAATTATGTATGGAATTATGACCGGAGGAAATGAGAATGAAAAGATTTGAAATAGTACAGTGGATGACCTAGAGTACGCTCTCAATAAGTATTAGCAATTATTATAACCAGATGCTAATTAATGTTTGTAATTACATGCTTTAACTCATAAATGCTCAGAAGGAAAATATCAGACCTTTCATAAAATAGAATAACACATGATGAAACCTTAAAGGATAGGTAAGATTTGTTAAACAGAGGGAAAAAAGGATGAGGCAAAAATATGTGGCTAGTGTTTAAGCAAATAAACAAGATATCTTTAAAAGACTGAAAGGACACAGGTCTAAATAGGGTCTGTGGTTAGGGGAGCATTTGGGTAAAACAGACTCTGCAATTGGCTTGCTTTATTATCTGGTGTAAGGGCCTTACAGTAAAGCCATCTGTATTTTTCCTACTCTAAAGAAACCTAGAATTGATACCTGGTTACTTTGTTTTGTGGTGTCTTAGACTGCTCTGGTAATTCAGTGTATTGTTCCCATTCTGTTAAATATGCAGTATGGCTCTCAGAAACATGGGGTTTCTATTTGTGGAATGTAGTCCCTTTATTGAATTTCCCTCACATTAGTTGACTTGAGGGTGCTAAGCTAACTATTTCCAAAAGCACGGGTCATTGGAATGGCAGTGGATGTTTTCCGTTTAGATTTTTAATTTTTTTTTTCTCAGATTCATCGCTTCTGCAACACTTTGTGTAGTGATTTGGATGGTGTGATGACAATTCAAGCAAAACCGCTTCAGCAAAGACCTCCCCATTTGGCGGACAGAACCCTGTACGTGTACGATTCTCTCAGCCTCTTCCCAGGGATGGAAACTGGTGCCCTGCAGAGTACCAGGACCCCATGCAATCCTATGCTGCACAGGGGCCAGAGCCCAGCCCAAGGCGGGACACAGCCAGTGTGTAAAAGCAGATGCTTCCAATCTCAACCAGAGAACAGTACGTGCTGTGTCTTAGGTTGAGGGAGATGAGAACAGGGGAAGGTAGCCAGGAACCTCTAATGTTGTTGGGTTTCCCATTTCATGACACACAAAGAGAAATATTTGATTCTTCATTCAAATGGAAATGGAATGATAGTCTATATCCAATCGGCAGTGCTGGATACTGTCCAGATAGTGTATAGCCAGCACAATGAAAGGACTCCCTGTTCCCACAGCAGCGATATGGGAGTTCTTAAATGGATTCCTCTCTCCAGGAACGAACAAGAAGACAAGCCAACAGGTGTGCTTTCCTCTGCACGGCACCGGCTGGGACGGATCTCAGATCCTCGCGGATTTTCGACGTCTGCCAAGAAAGCACCAGTGCATAGAAGGCTGCCTTCACTGACTGCAGACTCACAGAGAATAAAGACCCCCAATGTGTACAGTGATGGAGTTCTCAGGGGAACAAAGCTGTAAGTCTTGGGGGTCTCGTGGTATACTAAAAGGTCTTGTAGGATAAAGACATTTGTCAGTGAAGGTTGATGGATTACTCCAGATGGAGCATCTTCTATCACAAATGTGGATGCTTTTCTGATGATTTCCTTTGAGCATTTCACATTAATTCTAGCATGGTAGTATACATGGCTGTGAGTAGGAATAGGAGTCAAGCAGTGTACTGATAATTCTAAATTACAAAATTGATGCTTGTTTACAGAGAGGTTTATATAAAATAGTGTGTATAAAGTACTATGAAGCTAAAGGGGCTGCTTCTGTATCTGTTAACTTTTATTTAACTTCTTTTAAAGCATTACTGATTGATTGGTTGATTGATTGATTTGAGAGAGAGAGAAGTGGTGGGCAGAGAGAGTCTCCACCCAATGATTTATTCCCCATGCAGCCACAGTAGCCAGGGCTGAGTCAGGCTGAAGCCAGGAGCCTGGAACTCCAATTATATATCCCACATGGGGTGGGAGTGGGAAGGACAAGGACTTAAGCACTTGGACCATCTTCTGCTGCCTTCCCAGGCACATTGGCAGGGGCTGGATTAGGAGTGAAGCAGCCAAAACTCATCATATGGATGTTAACATTGCAGGCAATGGCTTAATCCACTGTGCTATAATGCTTGCTGCTTGCTGAAGTTCTTTTTCTTCATTCTGTGTTGGGGTAGCAGAAGCTTCAGACCTTAGGGATTAACCTGAAATCACTGTTAGAAACGTACTTGTCTCCTCAGTCATTGTATGATTCAGAAGCTTTCCAGAGAAGTCAACTCCAATGTTACACGATACTTAGGTTAATAATAACAGCTAGAATTTATTGATTGCTTTCCTCATTATGAGCATGTAGAAAATAAATCCCATTTATCATCTTATTTTATTCCCCATTCCTAACTTTTGAGTTAGTGTTCATATTAACCCAATTCTGAGATGAGGAAGTGAAATTGAAAGATGTAGAATAGCTTGCCAGAGGTCATTCCACCAAGGAGAGGCAGTGGGACACCCACGGTGCTCCCTGGCTTTAGTGTGCACCCTAAACTAGGTGCCACAGGCTGTCCACAGGAAGCGTGGAGCCATTGGAGGGCTGAAGTATAGGCTTCTCCCTCCCTAACTGGAGTTTCAAGAGTGAGTGACTGCCAACACTCAGTCAGGAGCTGAACTTTTCCTAGATCATCCCAGCACCCCTTTTAGCCTTTTGATAGGGCAGATTTTTCACAATCTGAGAGTGGTATTTCCAGCTACATTTATAACTGTCCCATTAGCTCTTTCAAGATAGCCTCTGTTCCTTCCTTTCCATGGCCACTTCATGCTCCATGACCAAGCTTCTTCCATCAAGAGTCATTTCTATTTCCCATTGATATAAACTCAGAAATGGTCAGTGTTCCATTCTCTACATTATTCTCCCCTAATCTTCTGCCTATTGTTGTCATGCTGGAGTCCTTTCCCAGTTGCTTCCCAATCCATGGAATTTAAATTCCAAAGATTCAATGTGCCTCTACCTGTAGAGCTGTCCCTTAAAATACAAGTGAAAAAAATGTGTTGCCCCACAGAATCTGTTTTTGCTTCACTGCAGTAGACTATATCTTCTTCATTCACTGCAGTAGGCAGTGTCCTCTAAACTGTGAACAGAAGTCAAAGCTCTCTTGTATGCCTATTACACAGAAGTATTGAAAACACAGTTGTTAATAAATTTATTAAAATTTTGTGTAGAATTGTATTTTTTCTTTTATTTCCATTGCATTTTCCCTAATGCTGCATTATCTTACCATCATAAAAGGTGACACTTTTTCATATTCCTTTGTTCTCTAATTACTGCGTGTGTTTTCATCCTGTTTCCAATAAAGTGTCAGCCCTTTGAAAGAAGGATGTAGATCTGTGATTCTTCCTATGTTCTGTTCAATCCCCACCCAACGTGGGCAGGTTACAAGCCTTGTGAAATCGGGAGAATGGACTGGAGCTGGGCGGCTCCCACCTCCCTTGTGTCTTCCTGAAACTCAGCTTGGCTGTTGGAAGGCAGAATGTAAGCAATGGCTTAGATGTGAATCTGTGCTTCTCTCTCCACACCCTGGTGTTCAGTCACTTTCCCTTGTGTTTACAGGCCAACAGGCGTAGACCGTGTAGCCACTCCTCCAATTCAAACCTCCCGCAACAGGCTACCTCCAATAGGCTTAGAGACGGGGGAGCAGCACACAGCAGTTCCTGGATCGCGCCCGGTTTCTGTAAGACAGATTTCTTTATCTTTAAGTGTGTCATTTAGATAGTGTGCTGGGCACGAAATAAGGAAAAATAATGTTGGCACGGCTGAGTGAGGCAGTAATGTAGCAAGAATGACCCTGAAGAGCTATATTCCAAATGATGATATAATCTGCCTCTAGAAAGTAGGTGACTTGTGAGAATTTACAGAGAAAAAGGGTTAACAGAGAATTTTGTGAAATAAAATCAGGGTTTTAGCTAAGGCCAGGTGTCAAGGAAGTATCTGAAGGCCAGGCTAGGGTGGCAAGGGAAACAATGGAGACGCTAGGTTAAGAGACAGGCAAGAGAACACATGTTTGGATCCTGCCATGGAAACTCTGTAGTATTTGGTTCAAGTTACAGTAAACTCCCTGAATCTTGGTTCCTCTGTTATAAAAGGAAAAAAAGAATTCAGTGAGTTCTTATGAAGATTAAATTAATCCCTGCAGGTTGAACAGTGCCTGGCACGAATTAGGAGCCCAGGGGGCTATGACACTTGTTTTTACAGTTAAGCTTGACCATGTCTGTTGCAATGCAAAGGCAGTGCCTACTTCACTCAAGCTCATCTCGATGAGGAATTTGCTGAAGGTCTGGGGAAGGCATGCTGCTAGGAGCACGTGCAGCCAGGTTCCCCAGACATCAGTGACTCCTTACTTCATTCTGTTACTCACACCAAGAGTCAATTTCCAGAAACACAAAAGGAGCTCTGTTGTGGCACCATGGAGGCCTCAAGAGGCGAGCTTTGCTTTTGCTTTGCTGTTGCTGAGCTCACCTATAGCCCTGCTTCCTAGAAGGCAGGGGTTGCACAGCTTTCATGTTCAACCTTCCAGTGAAATATTAACAGTAAAAAAAGGTACTGACCACGTGGAAAGGTTTGATGCTTTACACACATACAATTTCATTTCTATTTTTATTTCATATTAAGAATATGATGTGGCCAAGTTTTTTCATTCTTTTTTACCTACTAAATGCACTACCATTTGATCAAGTTTAACAATGTAATTACATAATCAAAATATATTTAGAGTCATTCATAGACTTTACACATAGCCAAATCTAGATAAGTTTTCAGAGAGTAAGTGAATGAGTAGAGGGGTGAAAATTGAAGCATATATGGAGTTTCATCATTTTCAGGATTTCATTTGTTATAAACAAAAGCACTGTGTCATTCATCTAGTGCAGAGGAAGACATCCACAGAACCGCGTGCTCAGCGCCATGCCTGTCAGCATGGAACGGTCACCTCTTCGAGAAAGAACCATGACCCTGGAGCGGCTCTCAAGGCCCAGCACCACCCAGACATTCCGTGTAGGTTCTCTGCTCACTGTCAGCATTATTTTTAGAAGATTTTTAATGCTCTATTTATTTACTATTTGTTTTGGAAGTCAGAGTTAAAGAGAGTGGATAGATAGAAAGTGGATTTCCACTTGCTGGTTCACTCCCCAAATAGCTACGATGGCCAGTGCTGGGCAAGGCTAAAGCCAGGATCCTGGAGGTTCTTCTGGGTCTCCCATATGGACACAGGACCTCAGTCACTTGTACTGTCTTCTGCTTTTCCAGGTGCATTTAAAGGAACTGGATGGGGAGTGCAGCAGTCAGGACATGAAATGTCCATATGGGATGCTGGCATCCCAGGCAGCAGCTTTACTTGTGACACAATTCTGGTCCCTAATACTGATCAAATAAAGCTCATTCTTATTCTTCATTTTATTTTCCTCCCAGCAGTCAGATATGCCTCGAAAAGGTTCATTGACATCGATGGAATTTGCCCGTCATACGTGGACAGGTCAAAGTATTTTGACAGGTCAGCTTTTTTCTACCTTTGAAGAAAATGATGAAATTTGTGAAATTTCAGCTTTCAGAAAGTGAAATTGAAGATTATCTTAGGTTGTTAAAACTTTCTTGACCAGGTAGAAGAAAATGGCAAGTTTATTACTTAAAAATTACAAATTATTTGTTATAATATGAAATGTCAAGAATGTTTCAGTGTTTTAAGGGAAATGTTTATTGTGTTATAATTATAAAAATGAATGAAGACAAATGTTGCATAACACATATTCATCACTATGTTCATATCAGCCCTTCTGTAGTATAGGGTTAGCCTTTTAAAATTTCATGCTATTCTAACAGCTTTAGGTGGCTGTGCTTTTTGTTGCTTTTCCTCTTATTTGTTCCTGATAGTGTTATATGTCCTTGTCAGTAACAATGGTACTTTCTCTAAAAGGCAACTGTGATACTTTACCTTTAATATAATTGTAGTTGGTTGTGGAGTATGGGAAATAGGCCCCCAAGTTTGTTTATCAGTCAAGAATGATAAGCCAGAAAAACGCTCACTCTTGTGCCAGGATTTGTAAAACAAGAATGTTTTGACCTGTGCCCAAAGAACATTCAGACATCTGGGCAGATGAAAAGGGCTATCTGAAGAGTCGTGGGCAGAACTGCCAAGTTCCATATTGAGGGAGGCTTCAGGGAAGTGATAACGGAGGACTGGGCTATGAGTTGGTTTTGTATTTGCACTCTGAAATCTTCTACCACATGCCAACACACAAGTCTACATATTAGAAAACATCCTTCCTTTTCCTTGGGTTCCTAATATAGGAGCATCTCAGGAATCTGAGTATGTCCTGGATTATGTAAGAATGAAATTAAAATGTCTTATTTATTTCTGAAAGTACCATCTATATGTGATGTAGAAAACACTCCTTTGATATTTTCACAGAAATTAATTTATGGTTGGTGTTTCAGGTTCACAGTATCTGCCAAAATCTTTTCAAAGGACAACTTTGATTTCAAGAAAGAGATTTCAAGTGGCATCATGATGTGGGACTTCCCCATTTCCATGGCCTGCACTGGCTTTTGCAAAGCCTCAGCACTTCATGCATCACGTGAACAATGGAGGAACCAGTATTACGCTGTGTATCTGTGTGTCTGACGGTCTGAGATGTGAGAGAAAAACCAATAAATCACTTTAACGGTGAACATTGTGTTGTCACTAGAATAAAAGATCCATTCACCTTCATCCCTGAAAGCATTCCTACTGTTCTCTGGGCTTTGTTCCAAGGACCCTCACATGTGTTCAAATTCCATCACCTTGTCAATTGTACACAACACACACATAATTAGTGAGTGTATATGCACACTAATCAGTATAGGATTACCGTGTACTTTGCCTTATTGTTCATCTCATTCTATAAATACTAGTACTAGTCACTGAGACAGCCAACCAGCCACATTTGAGACAATATGGCAGTTTGATAAAATACTATTTAGTCATTATGCCAAATTTCAGGTATCCTTTAAACATAATACTTTAGTCATGAACCTCTTTAAAAAATTTCAGTGGCCAATTCTCCCAAGCAAATTTGTTTTACTAGCTTTTATTTTCAACTTTATGCAATTTGTTTAGAAGTAACCCACATTGATTGTTGTTTATAGCTGAGCATAAAAAGAGATGAAATCTAAAAATTACGCTAATGTCAGTCCTTAGATCCATTAAAACATCTCAAATCAACCTTTTTGTAAAATATAACCTAATTTTCACCAGCCCTAAATAAAAATGTTTTACACATGCATATCTATATATTATACAAATGTATGGTGAATCATTTTCTGACGTATTTCTGGCTGTAGGGAAAGGACATCATTCCCTACTAACAGCAGTCTGAAGAAGGAAGAGTTTTGAGGGTAGATTCAGTACTATCCTTTGTCACAGAGCAAGAAAACAGAGTTGACCCCAGAGCCTTGTCTTCATTTGTCTTTCGTTTTCTCCATCTCCCAACCCATGGAACAGGTCAGGACATAGAAAAAAATGTGCACCTGTCTTGTGAATGCCCACAGGGTCTAACTAGGGAATATTTCCAATGTTGAGCTTCCCATGCAAATCAAACCTAAATAATTTGAGTATTTTCTAAATTGTTCCTGATTATTACCTTTGGAAGCTAAACAATGTGAATCTGAATGTAGCAGTTAATAAAGTCGAAGACTTCCTAGTCTTATAAGTGGCCGGGCACTCTCTGGCCTGTTGTTACAGCTATTGGAAATGTTTACCATGTTACTTCAGATTGAATTTGAGGGCATTTTATGTTAGTTTCTAAAAACCATTCAATTTCCTTCCTACTTAGCACAAACTTAGAAGGGAAAAAGGCTAAAATGCCACCCAAATGTACATGATAGATGTGTTTCCAAGAGAAATTATTTTTTATTAGCCAATCTCTAAGAATAGTTTATGATAGCTTCATTTTCTTTGACCTCATAGGTTTGTAAATAAAATTTGTAAACTAGTTACATACATTTGCAAAATTTCCTTAACAAATAGAACCAAGCACAGTGATCTTGACTGTTAACATCCAGATAATTAGATCAGAAGATGAACCACATATCTGAGATTACCAAACAAAGTTGATTTTGACATGGGTGGTCACGATGACTTTCTTTTCCCAAAGCACTTACATTTTTTACACCTGAACTTAAGATAGATCTTATTTTATCTATAAGTTAAAGGAGATTTAGGTAGAGATTGATAAATAATGTTCATGTCAAGGTGGTGCTTTTAAAACCAACTAGGTAAAAATTTAGGGAAATGTTTACACAATAATCTACCTTGATAAACGGGCCTTGGAGTTCTGTCTTAAAAACTGGAAAAAAAAAAATCAAACTATTTCTGAGACCAATATTTAAATTCAGGTTAATGGACACATTAATACATTGTTTAATTTTTTGAATTTAAAGAAGAAAGATTTTAAAAATAATCTAAGAAAGTGGAAATCATAAACTATAGATTTTGTAAGTTTAATATAAAAATGAACTATCTATACTGATGTTTTGATCTAGAATGGAATTTCTATATCGAGAAGTACATTTTTATAATATAAGTCATTTGCTTACTATATATTTATGTTATTGTTTTATGATTATGAATCATTGTTCAGGTCCTCTAATTCTTAAATTTTTAATAAATATTAATATGTGTTTTTTACACAGCCAGCTTTTTCCAATGATATTTGTAATGGTTTTGCTTCCTTTAATGTAATCTTTGTTTTAGAAGGTGACACTCCTATGAGGTAATCATAGTGGATTTATTTAATCAGATTCTTTGTTCAAGACTTTGAACCATTGGATTAGACAGGACAAAGTCTTTCCCTTAAAAGAAATTAGATTGTAATAGAGCAGATAGAACATAAACAAGTAAATAGAAATGTAAGATAAGGTCAGTTATTAGTAAGTGCTGTGAAGAAATAAAATGAGGCAAGGTACTGGCAGTGGAAAACTCAAACCTTAGCAAGAGAGGGAGGGAAGGCTACAAAACAAGTAATATATCCTAAACATTTAAAAATAAAGAAGCCATATAGAAAAGGAAAAAAAAAAACTTTAGACGGGAAACAAAGCACACACACCTAACGCAGGAATGTGCATGTTATGCTTGGAGAGCAGCAAAGAGGTGAGAGGAGCATATGATAGAATTAGGGAAATGGTGAATAATGGGACCTGGAATAGGAGATAACAGGGCAAGATCTTCAGAATTGAGAAGGACACTTTTGCTTTTTCAGTTAAGAAACTCAGAGAGTCTCAGGAAAGAGTTTCAGGAAAGAACTGAAACCATGGGTCCGAGGCTGAGACCCACAGGACAGAAAAGGTTGCTGTCATGGAGGGTGTGTGGCTGAAAGCAACAACTCTCTAGACTCCCCTCGCATCACCCCTGACCTCTGCCTTCACTTCTCTCTAAGCCAGCATGTTGTCTTCGGCTGTCAGCCAACACCCCACTCTCAGCCCCCACCCTCCCCAACCCTTTCAGCCAGCCCTGGCCTCAGATAAGGACCCTTTCCAAAGGGGTTGAAAAGTTAATGCCTCTGAGAACACAGTCCCTTTTTTCTCCCACATGCCACCCTTACCTGCAGGGGTCCACTTGTTCCCCACTCCCAGCGCCTTCCCTAACTCCACTTGATTCAATCCAGGCTAAGACCTTTCTCCCTGCCCTCCTTGTGCTATGGGCATCCTTTTCTCCCTGCCCTCCTTGTGCTGTGGGCATCCTCCGCTGCTGCCCCATGCCTGCAACAGTCTCTGCCTACCTTTCAAACACCTGTTCTGAAATCAAATTCTCCTATTAGACTCTAGCCCTGCAGCAATTTTCCAGCGATATATGCTTGAGGATTCTTCCCCAGGCTAGGACAGGAAGCACACAAAACTACTTAAAGCATGGCAAAAGTGGGGGAAGGGGGGAAAATGATGAAAAATCAGGTGGTTTTGGAGAGGCTTGCATGGCCTGGGATTTTATGACAGCTGCTTTTTTTTGCAGGGGGAGAGGGGAGGACAGGGAGTCCAATCTCTTCTCCAAAATGGAGAGGTCTGGTGGATGTATGGAGTAAGCTTTAGGCTGTTCACATCAGCAGGATAGGGAAAGCAGAAGGCTAAACAAAGGATTCTGTGTATCCCCGGCAAAGTCTCCTTGGAGCCTTTCAGCACCTCCAAATACCCTTGAGGGATTGAGAAGGCAGTCCACAGTGAGCCCTGCACATCCAGGTTTGGTGCCTAATTTTGTTTTCATGCACAAAACCCACTGTAGTATAAGTTTTATTATGCTCATTTTAGGGATGCAGGAACTGGGCTCCTTGCCCAGCCATGGCATAGTAAAGGGGTAGAATCCAGTGCAGTGGTCACAATGCCTTGTCCAAAGATGGTACTCTCTTATTTAAAGTAAATGTTGGGGTTTTTTTTCCCCCTGAATATCTCAGGTAGTACAGAATCTTTATAGAAAATTTGGAGGAGTTAGCTTTGTGGTGCAGCATGTTAAACTACTACTGACATCCCCTAACAGAGTGTAGGCTTGAGTCCTGGCTGCTCGACTGCCCTCTCTGCTAATGTGCCTGGAAAGGCAACAATAGATGGACCAAATGCTTGGGTCCTTGCCACCCATGTGGAAGACTTGGATGAAATCCCTGGCTCGTGGTTTTGGCCTGATCCAGATTTGGCTATTGTAGCCATTTGGGAAAAGAACCAATGAATGCAAGGTGCTTCTCCCTCCTCTCTCTCTCACTCTCTCATTCTCTCACTCTGCCTACCAAAAAAAAATTTTTTTTCTACAAGTTGTAAAAAAGAAAATCTGGCAAAGATAACATGAACTGTAAAATAAAAATACCCTATAATTCTACCACCTTGTGACTGTAAGCTTTATTAGCATATTTTTCTTCATTCTTGATTGCGGTGTTTTATGCCATGGTTTCTGCTGTTGCTTTTGTTTATCTTTGGTTTCCAGCGATGAGAGCAAGCTCCAGAGGATGTGCCTGTGTTCCCTCCCCTTACATAAGGACAGACTCCACATTGTTCACATCACTTTCCAGAGGGAAACATTTGATTTCAAGAACTTAATTGATACACCATTATCACACACAGACCATAGTTCACATTTGGGTTACTCTTTGTATTGTACATCCCACAGATTTAGAAATGAGCAAAAGCAGACCAGCATTGTGGCACAGTGGGTAAATTAAAAAAAAAAAGATATATTCACTTTTATTAGAAAGGCAGATCGACAAAGAGAAGGCGATAACAGAAAGAAAGATCTTCCCTCTGCTGGTCCACTTCCCAAGTGTCCACAATGCTGGACCTAAGTTGATCCGAAGCCAAGAGGCAAAAGCTTCTTCCAGGCCTCCCAGGAGTAGGGTTCCAAGGATTTGGATCATTCTCTACTACCCCAGGCCACAAGCAGGGAGCAGGAGGGGAAATGGAGAAGCCGGGACATGAACTAGTGCCCATATGTGATCCTGGCATGTCTAAAACAAAGATTTAGCCACTGAGACATTTCACTGGGCCCTCTTATCCATAATCATAACAGAAATGCTTCCAGTTTCTCATCATTAAGTGTAGGTGTTTTAGGGCCCAGCGCGATGGTGTAGTGGTTAAAGTCCTCGCCTTGCATGCGCCAGCACCCCATATGGATGCTGGTTCTAATCCCAGCAGTCCCACATCCCATTCAGTCCCTGCTT